CCCAGCAAGCACCCATTGCAGGCCAGGCACGTGAAAGGGGCTCTTGCCGATGCTGTTCCGCATGGCAAAAAAGAATCTACCAGAAATCGTATCTCCTGAGCGCCACACGGGGCCACACTGCTTATTGCAGCAGCATGGCTTCGGGATGCTTCGGGGAGTTCACGACTGTTGGCATTTCATGTCAACACAAAACACACACCCTAAGAGCTGGAGGCTGCGCCCTGCCCAATGCAGAGATTGCTCAGGCACAAACTCGTTGAAGCCAGATCGTATTTTTGAACAATATCCACAAACCGTTTGCGTGCCAGGCATCGGAAATGAAGATATATTGGAGACAGCCTCACACAGGGGGCCGCTTTTTCATGCAGATTCTTAGTTGTCCAGTACCTAGGGGTTTTAAAGGTTAACCTTTGGGATTCTAAGGGGGAATTTTACTAACCCAAAAAGGTTAAAGGTTACCTACTCTACTGCTAAGGATTTTTGGCGACTCTCGCGGGCGCCAACTATAAGGCCGAGGCAGGGTCTCGCCTTTCCGAACGTGGTCGCCTCCGAAAGCATCGGTTTTTGAGATGTAACTAAGGCTCAGGGTTTAGGGTTTAGGGTTTAGGGTTTAGGGTTTAGGGTTTAGGGTTTAGGGTTTAGGGTTTAGGGTTTAGGGTTTAGGGTTTAGGGCTAAAAACGTCTGGCGTTTAGGACTCGCAAAGATGCATGTGCAAAAACAATGACGGGATGAACTACTTCAAGAAAACTGCGGTCCAGGCCATAATGGGCAGCGAAACTCAGCAACGACTTGTGATCGCCAGCGCTCAGTTCCTGCTCTTTTCTGTATTTTGGCAAGGTTCAAGGCTTAGCGGCTTAGGGTTCAGCAATGTTCAGCATGAATGACTTGCTTCGTTAATCCACAGCAGGCTGTCCTTCACGATGAACTTGTCTTCGACAAAAGCCATCATGCTGCCACCCTTTCCGCCTGGTCAGAATCCAGCACTCGATGTTTGGAAAGCGCGCCCGAAACACTTTCTTGCTCCAAACCCGAAACCCGAAACCCGAAACCCTAAACCCTAAACAGAAGTTGACCTCCGTGTTGGAAGTTCGCGAAGTCCCAGCCAGTGTTCAAGAAAGCCTGTGCGCACAACTTCGTGCCAGAAAAAAGTAGGCAAGGCTCCTCATAGATTGCGCATGTGAAACTCAGGGTCGAGCATCAGACACACCAGCTCGCCACCGAAGCCTGGTTTAGAGTTTGGAGTTGAGTTGCCACTCTCTATGCGCGCGGGATCTCCACAGCAGGTAGCAGGTGGGCGGGCTCATCTTTCCACCCGCTCTAACAGCTGAGGGTCAAACTCCTTGAATGTTGCCTCGCTGAAAAGTTCCACCTCAGACACGCCGACGTGCCATGCCCAGCCCCAATTTCAAGTGACATGCTCCCGAATAATGTTGACTTCACATTAGTGGATCCACCCGCAATTGTAAAATCCCGCTGCCGGAACACAATAGTGTAGCCCGCCACAATTGTAAAATCCGACCCGGGAAATCCGGGTTTTACGGGCGTGGTGCTACTACCTAATACTAAAGCTAATACTACGTCCTACCAGGATGTAGGCGAACAGTATTGAGGAGGCCCTGGCCGGAGAGATTGATCAATGAAGGGGGGGGGGGGGGGGTTTTTTAATGCGAAGTCAACATTAAAGCCGATAATTACAACAGGGTTTTGGGGGTTATTATAATAGTAGTATCACAAAGGGACCCTAAGGGAATACTAGTTATTCCGAGCCCAAAAGTATCAGGCCGCGGCGGATCGGCCAGCCTCAGTGACCGGCATCAGCATCAAAAGCACATGTCGCCAGGCAGTGCAAGCTCGAGTGGAGTGGCGTGCTACCAAAACACAACCTGTTTATAATCGCTTCTCGAAGATATGTTTCAACAGTTGCACAGTTGGGAAAGCTTTCTGCCACCAGTTCGGCTTTCACAGCCGCGCCACTCGCTCCACTCACCACCGACGCGCTGGACGTGCTCCGGGACTCGCACAAACGACCACAGGCCAGGCACGCCCACTAATTACCAACTTGGCGGGCCGGCTACATTCTTGAAGCCGGTCCTTTGACTTTGGACGGTCGCTCTGGCCCAACCGGTTGCACGATGGAACACCTGCGCGTTCTGCTTGATGACGAAGAGTGCGTCGAGCTGCTTGTCGGCGCCGCCGGGACACTCGCGGCGGGCTCCGTGCTGAGTGCGGCGGTTGAAGGAGTCGCACGTTCCAATCGGCATCGCCCTATTCCAGCACATGCTCTCCATTTGAGCTGGTGTGGAGGCGCCGTCCCGCGCGCTACGCTTGGCCACTGAGCTTCAGCAGCAAACGTTCTTGAGATGTCTTGAGTGTTGATGGTGCCGGCGCCTACGACCACATATCGTGTGCACACATGTTCGAAGGGTCGCGGGGTGACAACCAGTTGCGAAAGCTCATCCTATTCGTTCGCATTTTTTAATAATTTTTTTTTTGCGATTTATCTACGGTAAGTAGCTTAATTACCCAACACTCCGAGGGCTTGAGCTAAAGGCTACCCCTACGCTGTATAGAAACCACTGCGCAACCGCAGCCCTTTTGAGGCTTCAAGCGAAGAGAAAAAGGGAGTGTCCTACCCTGAGCCCAGTAGGACCCCCGAAACAGCCTTAGAGCTTTCGCATGGTAGCGGAGCTCTGCTGAGCCCAGGGCCAGCATCTCCGAGCGGGCAGCCCCGCAGGTCTGGAGGACCTGCCTTTGCTGTCTGCGGGTAGCACCGCCCTGCAGGTGCAAGCAACGGTCACCGGGGACCAGAAACCCGGGGAAAGAAGCACTAGGCTTTGAAGCTTAGTGCGGGTAGACCCGCCTAGAGGTCTAACTTTCGGCACCTGGGCCGACAAACCAGGACCACAGGCCGAGCCAACCGAGCCGGTCTTCACCTCTGGATTTGCCCAGCTTTGTGCGGGTAGATCCGCCCTAGTCTCGTAACCACGTCCGACAGGGACTGGCACGACTGGGGTTGGAATCGGGACCAGTCTGGTTCCTGGTGGGACAACCACCAAGCTGAGGCTGACCAACATTGGAGTTGGCAGCAGCAAGTCTGGGAAGAGGAAAACCCAGAACCAGATCCGTGGGCCAATTGGTCCGGGGTCCACTCGTGGGTAGAGGCGCACCCGCCCACAGGGCCGACAGAGCCCACGAGAAGCCGCAGCCCGCGGCACAGAGAACCCGCTTCTGCTTCCAGTGCGGGTAGACCCGCCAAGCCCAGGGGAAAGCCTTGGTGGGAACGTCCTCCGCCCGAGTGGGTTTGGGACGAAAACAACCAGTGCTGGAAGCGAAAGAACCAGCGGGGAAAGCGCTCACCTGAGAAGATCGAGGAGCGCATCCAGCGCGGTCAAGAGCGACGAGCAGCCTGCGCTAGCTCGTCAGCCAAGTCCGCGCGGGTAGAACCGCCTCAGCAGGCGGAAGCCTCGACTGAGCCAGGTGAGCCAGTCGTTCTCACCCCAGCGCCGGCGGCAGCCGAGCCAGCGGGTAGCCCCGCGGAGGAACGCTCAGAAGTCTCTGAGTCCGAATCCTCCTCCAGCTCGTCAGTCAGCACCATCGACTACGAGACTGGAAGTCTGCCCGTGCAGACTGAAGCGGCAGCAAGTGCAACCGCAGAAAGAATTCGGGCCATCAAGCTCGAAAAGGATCCGGGCGAACCGGAAGGACCCCACGCCCCATCTGCAGGGGTGAAGAGCGAGGATCCGAACGAGGAACCCCTCGCAAGTGCGGCAGCCAAAGCTGCGTCTGAGCTCCGAGACTCCTGGATCTCAGTGAAAGAGGAGGTTGACTATAGCCCGTCGGACACTCCAGGAGCGGGTAGCACCGCCGCAGCAGAAGCTGCGGAACCCAGCCCGGAAGCGGGCAGCCCCGCCGCAGCCGAAGCTGCGGTACAAAGCTCCTGGGTGGAAGTCCAGGAAGCAGCAGACTCCCTAGCTGGGAGCACGATCCCAAGCCCACGCCTCTCCGAAGATGGCGATGGCTGGGACGACACAGCTCACTGCTGAGGAGGTGAGCAGGCAGCTCACGGGACTCACTGAAGCCCTCCGAAGGGCAGAGGAGGCCCACCGTGGGTTGCAAGAGCAGCTGGCTCAAAGCCAGCATCGCACCCAACTGTTGGAGCAACAGCTCCTGGAACTCCAACAGGCGGGTAGCACCGCCGCGGGTGGCACCGCAGCCAGCAGAGCAGCGGCGGCCGCAGCGGTAGGTAGCGTTTCACCCCAAGGACTGTTAGGTTTAGCAGCACCGCTGAAAGGGGTAGACTTACTTAAACAAGCCATTAAACCCCCCAAACCCTTAAAGGGAGTAGAAGATTGGGAAAGGTTTGTGTGGCAAGTTGAAACCTTTGCTGCACTCGTGGACGAAAGTTTTCCAGTGCACTTAGAGGAAGCCAGAAAGAGTCAAAGTGACAACACCCCGACCGAAGAGAGCGACGAATACCGAGCTCTCTCAGTCAAACTGTTCGGGATGCTGGTATCGCTCATCGCTGAATGCCCAGCTGCATTGAAGATTGCAAGGGGCACGAGAAACCAAAACGGATTCGTCCTGTGGCGAATGCTGTGGCGAGAGTTTCATCCCGAGCAGGCCAACAGAGGTCTCATTTGGAGACGGGCCCTGCTTTCGCCGAAGTTTCCAAACAAAGAGGGCGACTTTAGTGCAGCTCTTCAAGAATGGGAGCTGGATCTCGCGAAGTATGAATCCGAGTTTGGAGCCGAAAAGGCCATCTCAGATGAAGACAAGCGAGCGCTACTTATGGTCGAATCGCCCCAGGCCCTGAAGCAGCACTTGGCAATGCATGCTTCATCGCTAGGATCGTACGATGAGGTTCGGGCTGTGGTAGTCTCATACCTGCAAGCAAAGAGGGTGTGGACACCGTCGGGTGGTTATGCTCAGACAAGCCGCCGAGCAGCTCACGATCCCGATGCCATGGATATTGGCAAAGTCGGCGATGCCAAAGGCGATAAGGGGAAAGGAAAAGAAAAGAAGGGCAAAGGAAAAGACAAAGACCCCAAAGGGGGGAACGAACCCGAGAAGGGTGGAAAGGGCCAAGACAAAAGAAACCAGCAACACAACCAGCAGAAAGAAAAGGAGAAGTGCCCCATATGCTGGCGAACTGGGCACACAGTGAAAGACTGCTGGTACAATGTGAAAGGAAAAGGCAAAGGAACGCCAAAGGGCGGAGTAAACGCTGTTGCTGACGACGCTTCGTCACAGCTCTCAGCGGGTCCCTCCGCTTCCCAGGCGGGCAGCGCCGCGACTACGGCAAAACCTGGTGTGAGACACATCTCGGATGAGCCTATGCGAGTGCTAGCTGTGCGGAACAACGACCCCCGCCAAGGACACCTCCTGGTGGATACTGGTGCCGCTGTTTCCGTTTGCCGCCCGGGAACCTTTTCCAGTAAACTTGACCCGAAAGGACAAATGGCTCTGTACAGTGTGGACGACACGCCGCTCAACACCCTAGGCGCCACGGAACCTGTGCTGCGACTAGGCGGGGACCACCGCCAGAATGCACGAACCACGTTTCAAGTGGTTGAAGGTATCACAGATGACATTCTGTCTGTGAACCGAGCGGTGGATGCTGGAGCGCGGGTTGTGTTCCACGCGTCAGGCTCGCACATTGAGTGGGCTGACGGCTCACGAGCCGATTTCGTCCGAAGTGGGAAACAATTCCTGCTACCTTACGCTGAAATGGCCAAACCCAGCAAGCACGTGACCATAGCGGCCGTTGAGGATTTTCCCGACGACCTGGAAGCTCAAGCGGTCGAGGAATTCGCTATCGCTGAAGAACAGCTGGAGGCAGAAGCCGCGCGGGCCGAGGCAGCAGCTGCCGAAGCCAATGAGGGTGAGGGCGAAGAACGCCAGGACCTTGAAGCGGTAGCCCCGCCAGCGGATCCCGAGCCGAACGAGGAAAGCGTGCCACGCGAGCCCACGGCCGAAGAGAAAGAGCGCCATAGACTCACTCACCTGCCATTCCAGAGCTGGTGTCCGGAATGCGTGCAGGGGGCCGGGCGAGGCGGGCACCACCGCCGAAAGAAAGACGCGGGAGAAGGCGCATTGGAAGCGACGGTCCAAATGGACTACACCTTCTACTCGCGAGGGGCGCAGCAAAGGCTCGCGCCGGAGAACGAGTCTGTTCTCGTCACGGTGCTGACGCTGGTTGACCGCGACACCGGCTGGCCGTGCAGCGTACAGGTGCCTAGAAAAGGTCAGGAGTGCGGACCATTTGTGTTGGACGCAATAGAGCTCTACCTGAACAATTTGGGACACAAAAGAGTGATCCTGCAAATTGACCAAGAAGGAGCGTTGAGAAACGTTGCTGTGGCTGTAAGAAACCGGATGGGGGCACACAAGGTTCGAGTGCGGGAGTCACCGCCGTACTCGCACCAGAGCCAGGGCGCCGTTGAAGGCGAACACCACCAACTCGCAGGTTTGGTGCGCACATGGCTCATGGACCTCCAGAATCGGTACCCCAACTGCATGGTTGACGTCAATCATGTGGTGTTTCCCTGGCTAGTCAAGTACGTCGCTTGGTCTGCGGCGAGGTTTCAAGTGAGAACCGCCGACAAAATGACCGCGTACAAGATAGTCAATGGGGTAGAATACTTGAGCCCCATATGCAAATTTGGGGAAACAGTCATGGCAAAACTTCCGAAACCAGGCACCAAGGCGCAACGCCGTTGGATACGTGGGATATGGGTTGGTCGTCTGGAGCGCGACAACACCAACATTATACTCACGGAGGCTGGGGCATTGAGTGTGCGGTCTGTCCGCCGTTTACCACCAGACGCGCAAGCCAACAGAACCCTGATGGGGACCGTAGCTGGCGTGCCATGGGCACTTCGACAAGGAAGGACGTTGCGGCAAGCACCCGCCCTGCAGGCGGAACCTTTGGTGCTGCCAGCGCCGCCACTCATGCAAGCCGAAACCGAAGGCGACCACGTGGAGCAAGAGGGCGCAGCGCAAATCCCCTCAATGGCCCACGATGGACCCGAAGAAAGAATGGACAGAGACGCTTTGGACGTTGAAGGCGCCGCAGCCGCGGAGAGCCTCGAACCACGCGAAGACATGGACGTTTTCGATGGCGACACCGGCGCGGGAGTTCTCGTCTCACCCGAAGAAACCGCTGAGGCTGAAGCTATTCGAAATGCAGCGCCATCGAGTCCCACAACGTCGGATGGCCCATCCGCAGAAAGCGCGGGAGCCGCTGCCGGATCACCTAGAGCACCAGCAGGGATGGCTTATCCCACGGGGCTGGGCGAAGGGGGGCTGGCGACCAAGCGTTCAGGCACAGCGCCACCTGCGGAAGAGACCAGGCCGCCGAAGCAACCCAAAGCCGAAGCCAAGAAGTCCCAACGTGTAGGCAAACTACAGGTGCAAGATCTGTGGAAAAAGGTGGAGGAATGGGCCAATGCGGACGACCCCGCTGTAGCGCAGCAGAGGCTCGCCACGGTGATGGAATACCTCGATTCCGTGCCCGACCCACAGCAGATCCAGAAAGCACGCGAAGAGCAACTTTGGAAGCTCTGGCGGCTGAACGCCTTCACACCGGTGATGCGATGGGACAAGCCGGCAGACGCCCAGACCTTCCACTACAAGTGGGTGGACAAGGTGAAAGACGGCGTGTGCAAAAGCAGGTTTACCTGCGCCGACACACGACGATCCTATACCCCAGAAATGGAGCAGGACATGCGTGTCTTTGTTCCTACCCCTACTCCTGAAGCACACGCACTGCTCGAAATAACGGCTCTGCAGAGAGGCTGCGCCATGAGAACCTTCGACATCGTTGCTGCTTTCCTGATCGGCAGGGACCGAGGGGCGCAGAACGAAAACTGGGTCTACATGCGACCGCCAGCCGAGTGGAAGCCCATTTTCGACCAGTGGGTGCGGGAGCAACCGCCGTCTGAGCAGTCCAAGCTCAGAGGACAATTTGCTGACATATTTGCTGACATGCTGTTCAGGCTCGATGGAAATTTGTATGGTCGAAGAACAGCTGGCTCCGTCTATCGAGACGAGCTGGAAGAGCTGTTATGCCACAAATTGTCACAGACCGGCCGGTATGCTTTCAAAAGAGGGGTAAAAGATCCATGTATCTATCGATGCATGAAGACAGGTATCATAGTGGTCCATCACATCGATGACGGAAGATGTGCGGGGAACGCCGCCCTGCTGAACACCTTCCTGGACGAGGATATGTGCAGCCACTGTGAAATCACCACCGGTCCTCTTGAGGCCGAAGGTGTATCGGTAGAAGTTTTGGGAAAAACCAAAACACGCTTGGAGGGCTGCATCCTAACAGCCCCGGACGCAAAGCATGCTCGAAACATCATCGAAGCACTCGGTCTGAAGCCCGGAGAGAAATCTCCAGTGCCTTCTCGCAAACCCGATCTCTCGGACGTGACGCCGTTGAGTGCGGGGGATGCCGCCAAATACCGATCCGCTGTGGGGTCCGGAATTTACCTCTCGGCCGACAGACGTGACATTCAGTATGCGGTGAAAGAGTTGGCGAGGCATATGGCCGAACCCAGACAGTGCGACATGCAACAAGCACGACTGCTGGGAAAATACCTGCAACAAGCGCCCGACCTTGTTCGAGTCACTGCACTCGACCCAAGCGCGTACGAAGGGCCCATGACGCTCGACGTCTTCAGCGACAGCGATTGGGGAGGATGTGTTGAAACCCGGCGATCCACAGATTGTCATGTGGTGGTTCTGGGAGGAGCAATTGTCGCCACATCCACGCAGACCCAGCCGGGATTGCCTGCCACCAGCAGCCCTGACGCTGAGTTAAGAGGCATCAGCCGGGCCTGTCGCGAGGCCATCTTCGTACACGAACTTGCGACCATGGATTTTGGGCTGGAGGTGGAAATCCCACGCCTGTGGTCAGACAGCTCCACTGGCATCACAGCCGCAAAACGCATAGGGCCAGGAACCAAGCTACGCCATCTGGACGTGAGCGAATTCTACGTCCAAGGGGCAGTGCAGGCCGGGAAAGCGCTGTTGCGAAAAGTCAAAGGAACTGAGAATCCGGCGAATTTTCTCACCAAGCACCCAAAGTCCGGAAACGAAGTGCTACAAGCTTTACCTTCGTTGGGCATGGTGGACCCCAAACATGTTGCGGGCGCCACCGCCCAGGAGAAACACACGGTGAAGTTTGTGCGGGTGAATCCGCCTACGAGCTGGAAACCCGTATTTCCGTTCAAGCCTACGCTCGCAATTGCGGGTGTCACTATGGCTTCACAGATCTTAGGAGTGAAGGCCCAGCCAAGGGAGTATGAACTCCTAGAGCTGGTGCTGGATGTCACTTTGTGGCTGGGACTCCTGGGATGGTTTGTTTTGCTCTACCACATGGTGAAGGGCACTGTGAGGGGAACTCTGGCTATATACAGGAGGGTGAACCGACACCGGCAACATGAAGAAGAGCCGGAACCGGAAGCGTCGGAGGACGAAGCTCCAACGCAGGCCGCGGAAAACGCGCCACCTCCACTCGAGGACTTGTTCCGAGAGGGAGTGCGGGCACCTCCGCCTCGGGACCTGCGACCCCCAGCTCCTGAGCCGGAACCTCCAGAGGTGGGCCAACAGGCAGCAGCATCTGCCTTGCCACCACAACCCGCACAGGGAGATCAGCAGCGACGAGCACGTCGAAGAACTAGACCACAGGTACCCCAGAGAGAACCAGGGGAGATCTACTATGCGCCTTGCCGGAGGACAGCACATGTATTCCGCAACTGCTCTGGGCTAAGTTCAACCCAGCAGCAAGACATCGTGGTCGAACAGTTCTGTGCCTACTGCCTGGAAAACTTTCCTAGACACCTCAGGCTCGAGAACGAACCTCGGGTATGGGTGACAGGGACGAATCTAAGGCCACATATCTTTCAGAATTGCCCTGAACTCCAAGGATGGCAGAGAGCGATTCCGATGTGCAATCACTGCAGTTTGAGACACATCTCGCGAGATCCCTGAGCGGTAGTCCCGCCAAGCGGGCACCACCGCTGGTCAGGATGACCAGCAAATCTAAACAAAGCACAACCCTCTGAGGTTGGAGGGGGGTGCGATTTATCTACGGTAAGTAGCTTAATTACCCAACACTCCGAGGGCTTGAGCTAAAGGCTACCCCTACGCTGTATAGAAACCACTGCGCAACCGCAGCCCTTTTGAGGCTTCAAGCGAAGAGAAAAGGGGAGTGTCCTACCCTGAGCCCAGTAGGACCCCCGAAACAGCCTTAGAGCTTTCGCATTTTTCCGCATACTTTTTGCTCCTGACTGTCCGCCGTCGCAGTGCAAAGTGCGTCGCCGAGCCCATAAAGAGCTACGACAGATGCCTGGCAAGGGGCCCGTGCTCGTGCAAAGCCTGAGCAGCTGATGCTCATGATGCTTGCTTGGTGGCCCAAGCTTGTGCAAAGCCTGAGCAGCTGATACTCCTGATGCTCGCTTGGTGGCCCGTGCTCGTGCAAAGCCTGAGCAGCTGATGCTCATGATGCTCGCTCGGTGGCCCATGCTCGTGCAAAGCCTGAGCAGCTGATGCGCATGATGCGCACTTGGTGGCCCATGCTTGTGCGAAGCCTGAGCAGCTGATGAGGAGTCGGCGAGCACATCACCGAGGAGTGGCGTGTCGCCATGAATGTTGGAGGCGCCGTGGAGGGCGTCGTAGCGAAGTTCAGATCGCGCGTCAGGACATTAGGCTTTGCACGAGCATGGGCAACCAAGCAAGCATCATGAGCATCAGCTGCTCCGGCTTTGCACGAGCATGGGCCACCAATGACCAAGCACGGCTTTTTTTTTTTTTTTTTCTCGGCCTTTTCCGACTGCAACACGGTACCAGAGCTACGTTGGTCGAACTACTACCACAGCGGGCGGTCCCGGTTTAGGGCCGCAGGGGCAGGCGGCTAGGCCCTTCATTGGTGGCGAGGTCGAGCACGCGGTCCAGTGCAGGGCCGTCGCTCGGGCCAGGCAGTGGCGCAGCCGGCCACGCTCGGCCCAAGGCTGTGCTCGCCACGGCGAGCTGGACCGCAACGGAAAGGGCTCCCCACCAGCGTCTTGCCCAGCCGGAGGACGCCGCAGCGCGCACGGCAGGCGGCGCACGCAGAGCGCGGAGCCGGACGAGGTCGCAAACAAAGTGCTGCGCAGCAGTGCTCCAGCGGCCTCCTATCTCGGAGCCTAGGACCACGAGCTTCTGCGGGCCGCCCCTCGCGAGTTCGGGGTACGCTCTGCGACCTGCAGCACGGCACCGTCAACCTCCCGTGCTTTGCACGCGCATGGGCCACCAATGATCAGGAGCTGCTCAGGCTTTGCACGAGCATGGGCCACCAAGCAAGCATCATGGGCATCAGCAGCTCAGGCTTTGCACGAGCATGTGCTTCCAAGCAAGCATCATGATCATGACCTGCTCAGGCTTTTCAGGAAGCAAGCATCATGAGCATCAGCTGCTCAAGCTTTGCACAAGCATGGGCCACGAAGCAAGCATCATGCGCATCAGCTGCTCAGGACCCTAAACCCTAAACCCTAAACCCTAAACCCTTTGCACGGGCATGGGCCACCAAGCAAACATCATGCGCATCAGCTCAGGCTTTGCACCAGCATGGGCCACCAAGCAAACATCATGCGCATCAGCTGCTCAGGCTTTGAACGAGCATGGGCCACCAAGCAAGCATCAGCTGCTCAGGCTTTGCACAAGCACGGGCCACCAAGCGAGCATCAGGCGCATCAGCTGCTCAGGCTTTGCACGAGCACGGGCCACCAAGCGCGCATCAGGAGTCAGCTGCTCAAGCTTTGCACGAGCATGGGCCACGAAGCAAGCATCATGCGCATCAGCTGCACGGGCATGGGCCACCAAGCAAGCATCATGAGCATCAGCTGTCCAGGCTTTGCACGAGCATGGGCCACAAGCAAGCATCATGCGCATCAGCTGCTCAGGCTTTGCACGGGCATGGGCCACCCAGCAAGCATCATGCGCATCAGCTGCTCAGGCTTTGCACGAGCATGGGCCACCAAGCAAGCATCATGAGCATCAGCTGTTCGCCACCAAGCAAGCATCATGAGCATCAGCTGCTCAGGCTTTGCACGAGGCTATGCCACCAAAAAACAAGCAACTGCTCAGGCTTTGCACTAGCATGGGCCGCCAGGCAAGCATCATGGGCATCAGCTGCTCACGAGCAAGGCATCCGCTGCTCAGGCTTTGTACGAGCATGGGCCACCAAGCAATCATCATGCGCATCAACTGCTCAGGATTTGCACGGGCATGGGCCACCAAGCAGGCATCATGCGCATCAGCTGTCCAGGCTTTGCACGAGCATGGGCCACCAAGCAAGCATCATGCGCATCAGTTGCTCGGGCTTTGCACGGGCCTGGGCCGCAAGCAAGCATCATGCGCATCAGCTGCTCAGGCTTTGCACGGGCATGGGCCACCCAGCAAGCATCATGCGCATCAGCTGCCCAGGCTTTGCACGAGCATTGGCCACCAAGCAAGCATCACGAGCATCAACTGCTCAAGCTTTGCACGAGCATGGGCCACCAAGGGAGCATCATGAACATCATCGGCCACCAAGCAAGCATCATGAGCATCAGCTGCTCAGGCTTTGCACGAGCACGGGCCACCAAGCGGGCATTAGGAGCATCAGCCGCTCAGGCTTTGCGCGAGCACGGGCAACCAAGCGAGCATCGAGCATCAGTCGCTCAGGCTTTGCCCAAGCACGGGCCACCAAGCACGCATCATGAGCATCAGCTGATCCGGCTTTGCACGTGCATGGGCCACCAAGCAAGCATCATGATCATCCGTTGCTCAAGCTTTGCACGAGCATGGGCCACCAAGCAAGCATCATGCGCATCAGCTGCTCAGGCTTTGCACGGGCATGGGCCACCAAGCTCATGCGCATCAGCTGCTCAGGCTTTGCACGAGCATGGGCCACCAAGCAACCATCATGAGCATCAACTGCTCAGTCAAGCTTTGCACCAGCATGGGCCACCAAGCAAGCATCAGCTGCTCAGGCTTTGCACAAGCACGGCCACCAAGCGAGCATCATGAACATCAGCTGCTCAGGGTTTGAACGAGCATGGGCCACCAAACAAGCATCTTGAGCATCAGCTGCTCAGGCTTTGCACGAGCACGGGCCACCAAACAAGCATCATGAGCATCAGCTGCTCAGGCTTTGCACGAGCATGGGCCACCAAGCGGGCATCATGCGCATCAGCTGCTCAGGCTTTGCATGAGCACGGGCCACCAAGCAAGCATCAGGTGCATCAGCTGTTCAGGCTTTGCACGAGCATGGGCCACCAAGCAAGCATCATGAGCATCATCTGATCCGGCTTTGCACGAGCATGGGCTACCAAGCAAGCATCATGGGCATCAGCAGCTCAGGCTTTGCACGAGCATGTGCCTCCAAGCAAGCATCATGATCATGAGCTGCTCAGGCTTTGCACGAGCATGGGTCGCCAAGCTAGCATCATGAGCATCAGCTGCTCAGGCTTTGCACGAGCATGGGCCACCAAACAAGCATCATGCGCATCAGCTGTTCCGGCTTTGCACGAGCATGGGCCGCCAAGCAAGCATCATGAGCATAAGCTGTTCAGGCTTTGCACGAGCATGGGCCACCAAGCAAGCATCATGCGCATCAGCTGCTCAGGCTTTGCACGGGCATGGGCCACCCAGCAAGCATCATGCGCATCAGCTGCTCAGGCTTTGCACGAGCATTGGCCACCAAGCAAGCATCACGAGCATCAACTGCTCAAGCTTTGCACGAGCATGGGCCACCAAGGGAGCATCATGAACATCATCGGCCACCAAGCAAGCATCATGAACATCAGCTGCTCAGGCTTTGCATGAGCATGCATGAGCACACCAAGCAAGCATCATGATCAGCAGCTGCTCAGGTTTTGCACGAGCATGGGCAGCCAAGCAAGCATCATGATCATCCGTTCCTCAAGCTTTGCACGAGCATAGGCCACCAGGCGATCATCAGCTGCTCAGGCTTTGCACGAGCATGGGCCACCAAGCAAGCATCATGCGCATCAGCTGCTCAGGCTTTGCACGGGCATGGGCCACCAAGCAACCATCATGAGCATCAACTGCTCAGTCAAGCTTTGCACAAGCATGGGCCACCAAGCAAGCATCAGCTGCTCAGGCTTTGCACAAGCACGGGCCACCAAGCGAGCATCATGAACATCAGCTGCTCAGGCTTTGAACGAGCATGGGCCACCAAACAAGCATCTTGAGCATCAGCTGCTCAGGCTTTGCACGAGCACGGGCCACCAAGCGAGCATTATGAGCATCAGCTGCTCAGGCTTTGCACGAGCAAAAAGAGCATTATGAGCATCAGCTGTTCAGGCTTTGCACGAGCATGGGCCACCAAGCAACCATCATGAGCATCAGCTGCTCAGGCTTTGCCCGAGCACGGGCCACCACGCAAGCATCATGAGCATCAGCAGCAGGCTTTGCACGCGCATGGGCCACCAAGCAAGCATTGTGAGCATCAGCTGCTCAGGCTTTGCCCGAGTATGGGCCACCAAGCAAGCACTATGAGCATCAGCTGCTCATGCTTTGCACGAGCACGGGCCACCAAGCGAGCATTGAGCATCAAATGGTCAGGCTTTGCACGAGCATGGGCCACCAAGCGAGCATCATGAGCATCAGCTGCTCAGGCTTTGCCCGAGCACGGGCCACCAAGCAAGCATCATGCGCATCAGCTGTCCCGGCTTTGCACGAGCATGGGCCACCAAGCGAGCATCATGAGCATCAGCTGCTCAGGCTTTGCATGAGCACGGGCCACCAAGCGTGCCTTATGCGCATCAGCTGCTCAGGCTTTGCACGAGCATGGGCCACCATACGAGCATTGAGCATCAGTTGCTCAGGCTTTGCCCGAGCACGGGCCACCAAGCACGCATCATGAGCAGCAGCTGCTCAGGTCAGGCTTTGCACGAGCATGGGCCACAAAGCAAGCATCATGAGCATCAGCTGATCCGGCTTTGCAC